AAATGTTCACTGTCTTCTTTTAGATCAAACAATACTTTATGATGATATTTCAAGTTACTTCATTTAAAAACTATGACTAATTACAATGCCTGTGCTTCCAAAACCAACAATGATCTCACTTCTAAAACATTTTTGTCAGGAAAACATTTTCTTACTAAAACATTACACTCATTCCTTATAGTCAACCCTAATACTAAGTTCCCAAAAGTTTAATCAGCTACATTTTTTTATCAAATAAGTCAATTATTATACAATTTTTGGGAGGCCATCCAAATATGCTATTAAGAAAAACATGACTACTTTAAATGGTTATCTGAAAAACTACACTCTTTTGTCAGAAAGAAGAATTATATTTATTCATATGCCATATTATTAGAGATGATATATACTGCCCAAATTTGATCTTTTATGCCTGATTTGGTTAATAACCAAAAACTATATTAACAATCTTCTCAGTGAACTAAATCACTACTAAAGAAACAAAATTGATCCCTTCATGCATTCTAATTACTAATGCTGTTCTCAAACTCCTATCATGGTACTGAAATGGTTAGTTAAGGAGTATCAGGTAAGACTAAGTCTAGACTATGGGTTTAATCTAGTATACTCTGGATTCACACTAGGAGATCAACAGAATGCCGGTATTAGAACACATCTTAGTGAAATGTAAAAGGTTTTACTCTTTTGACCAACTTCAATGGTATAAATAAAGAAGTAGCATTTAAATTTCACAAGAATAGTCATAAAGAAAATAAGTATTTGAACTCAGGAATAAACCAAGTACGATGACAAGTCTGAATAGGAGAATGAACACTTCAATACAAGCATGTCAGTTCCTATTAAAAAAGATCTTAATACCAATAATGATATCCTCAAACATTTCTCTAGACTTTGAAGAGGAATATAGATTAAATACAAGTCCTAACTAACATTACTTACTTATCTTCTCTATGATATTATAAACAATGGTTTTAAATTTTATAATATATGTCTATACTTCATAATCCTAACGCAAGCTTCTAAACCGCAATGCTTTAGCATGAGTTTGAAAATAAAAAGTTCAGAAAAAGCACTTGCATGGGAATAGTAAAAATAGCAACAATAATAGGAAGAACAACATTTTATTAAATGTTTACTATATTGTAAGTTCATAAATTATCTTTTTGAATCTCACAATGATCCTAAGATTTTATAATATTAGTATTCCCCTTTGTAGAAGGGAAAAAAAACCCAGAAAGTAATCTGTCTTTGGTCAAATAAATAATAAGTGACAGAATAAAAAATTAAGTCTCATTGCCAAAAAATGAAGTTTTAAGTCATTTGCATAGTCCACTCGTTTTTAAATGCTTTAAAGGTATATAAATCCCTAAAACTGTTTCCAAGGACAGTTCTTTTTTTTTTTTAATAGTTAAAAACTGCATTTAATAAAAACATGTTTTGCAAAAGTTATGTTCAATAACATCTGCATTTGGCTGTTAGAGGATTAGTATATGCCTGGTTTATCTTAAATTTTTGGTACAGCTAAATGGCTTTTATTTTTTTTTTTAAATAATAAATTTTATTTTTATATTCCCCCATACAATTGCAAACCCCCCATTCTGAACCCAATCCTTCCCCTCCCACCCCCCACCCCCCACCCCCCAAAAAGTGTCTCTGGTTCATAGTTTTTTGTTGATTTTGATTTTCACTTTCTTATATTCATTTTCCTGGTCCCTTATTTAAGTTTTCTAGATTCCAAGGACAGTTCTAAAAATAAATGATTGTGTCTAAACATCTTCACTTTTCATATGAAAGAGCTGAGGCCCATGGAATAGTATAATTTGTCCAAGGTATATCAGGTTGTTAGATAAGAAACACTACTAGTCCTGTCTTTTTTAAATTGGGAATTTTCCTGCTTAAAATTTTAAAATGACAAAATTGGGTGATTATCTCTAAGGTTTCTTTCAATTCTAAAATTTATGTTTCAGCAAGGATGTGGAGAAAAAGGAGGGATGGTGGGAATATAGGCTGATCCAACTCCTATGGAAAGCAGTATAGAGGTTTCTCAAAAGACTAAACATGGATCTAGCACATGAACCAGCAATTTCACACCTAGGTTTCTACCAGAAGAATACAAATACACTAATTGGAAGGGGAACTTGAACTCCCATGTTCACTGCAGCACTATTTACAATAGCCAAACTATGGAAACAACCTAAGTGCCAAACACAGATGAGTGGATCAAGAAGATGTGTATATATACACAATGGAATACTACTCAGAGATCAAAAAAGATGAACTAATTTCATTTGCAACAACATGGATAGAGGTGGACAGGATTATACTAAGTGAAATAAGTCAGAAAAAATAAAGACAAATATTGGACGGGATTATTTACATGTGGAATACAGAGAAAGTAAACAAAGGGTCAGATAAAGCCAAAATAAAAGACTAGTCCTTGAAAGCTGACTATAGAAGTGAAATATTCATAGGCAGAGGGACAAGCTCAAAATAGGGACAGAGGACAATGGACTATAGTGGTAGACTATGGGTTCTTTGGTGGTAAGAGTAGTAAGGTAACATCACTGGAAGAGAGGGCATCCTGTACTTTCAAAATACAAATGACAGGGGCCTCCCTGGTGGTGTAAGGGGTTAAGTCTCAGCACTATGAAGCTATAGGCAACCACTACAGCAAGAGCTCAATCCCTGTCTAAGATGCTGACCCACATGGTGCAGCAGACCTCTCCTGTCTTGCCCACTGCTCCCCTCAGCAATATATTTCAGTCAATCTGCCTATTCTGCTCCCCACTCTGTCTCTGGTGAATCCTCTCACCCCCAACACCTCTGGCCCACATCCCAGCTCTTGTATGCATAAATTAAAAAAATAAATCTTTAAAAAAAAATACAAACAACAATGTAAACCAATGCCTCAATTAAATAATAAAAAAATAAACAAAATGTATGTTTAAACCAAAAACTATAATTATTCATTTAGTCATGAAAAAAAAGAAATTGTTCTACTATGCCTTGGTTAAATTTAAGCAATTTCCAGCATATAATTTCAATCTAGAAAAGTTTTAAGATGGTCTTAATTGTAAAGAAGAAAATAAAATGAGGATCCCTTCCTTCTATCTAATGGCATTAATATTAGAAAAGAATTATTTCTCCTATGATTCTTTTTCAGTGGATGGGAACCATTCATGGAGCATGAAATCAGTTTAATAATTCATCAGTAGCATTTTAAAAACTAAAAATAACTAGAATTTTTAAAATCTGATAATACTGTAAAGAGCAAGGGTTAAGTACTGCTTCATGAAAACTATTATGTCGCTATGCACTCAGTCATAATGTAAAATGTATTTCTAGAATCAGTCTCAATCAAAATAGATCTAAAAGTTGCAATGCTAGACTCCCAAGGAACATTTCACATGCAATATACCTGATGTGAAGTTAATTTAATTACACTTCGATGACTGACATTTCTAAGTTCTATACCTAAAATATTTTGCTTTTTGAAATTGTAGTAAAGTTATTGACATGCTTAAGAGTAAATTCTATTAGACTTGTATAGACATTCTAGGAATATAGACCGATTTAACAGTTTTCACAAGAACATAAACCCAAAACTATTTGTAAAGCAACAACACAATATTTAAAGAACATAACTGGAAGAAATCTGAGTTTCTTAAAGAAATAGTGATTCCAAGTGTGGGCAGAAAAAATACAAGATGAATATGGGACCTCTTATTGTGTCAGAAAGCAAGGAAGCTACTGAGAGATTCAAAAGGATGTAGGAGTCAGCTGAAATGTTTCTTACTGATGAAATTAGGAACAATTGTGGCTTCAAAGAAAATAACAACTACAATAGATTAAAATACAAGCACATGAAAATTCAAAAGTTCAAATAAAACAAAATATTGATCACCTCCACGGTTGCTAGAATATCAATTTATTATTCTAAAACTGGGTAAGTAAAAGAATGAAGTAATTTTTCTCTATTTTTTTTGCATTTTTATCCAGCAAGCTTGTGAAGACAGTTCTTGAGAGAAATCCATATTTAATCAAAAAAGGGAAAAATTTAGAAAATCAATAAATTAAAATCCCTAGTAGAATAATGAATGATCAGCAATGATTGCTAAAACCATTAAATGAAAGATTGATAGAGAACTTCACAATCATCAGGTGAGCAACACCTGAACCCAAAGATCAATTTTAATATCACTACACATGAGACAGGTCTTCTAATAGGACAGAAGTAAAATCAATATGAAATACAGCCATAAAAAGAAAATGAACTTAATCAGTCCTCTGGATCTTACCACCAAGTTAAAGAAAATACAAGGCTATAAAAAGATGTTAAAAAAGACCACAAAGATACAACCAACTAAATTCAAAATGTGGTAAATTCTACAAGACTTGATTTTGTCAATAAATAATGCCAAGGAAAAAGAAGTAGATGGGAAGTCATTAATGATAAAAAGAAACTTAAAAGACTCACTTAAATCCAACATTGTAGACCTTGCTTGGTTCCTGATTTGTACAAACAAATTACAAGAGGACTTTATCAGAGCCGAGATAATACAGATTGGAAATCAAATGATATTAATAACTTATTTTTTTTATTTTGTTAGGTATGATAAAGCGATTTTGTTACAAAGAGATAAAACATTTTTTAAGGCTATAAGAATAAAGCATGACAAACACAGAAATTCAATTAGCAGACTGATATGCAGCAAATATTTTGACATGTAGATAGTCCCTTTTCAAGAAAAACATTTCATCTTTCTGGTAGATGTCAGAATTCCAAATCCTTAAAAACATTGTCACCCAACTTCCTACCTTCAAAGGAAGGTATTAAGAATACCTCACAGCTGGGTAAATGTCAGACAACCAAGTTTTGTTTCTGCTTCAGGATGCTTTTCTATTTAAAGTATAAACATATTCTCCATATACAATACTTTAAAATGTCACAAATATATAATTATACTATGTCACTATACATACTGTATTACAAAACTTACGGAATAGCAGAACTGAAAGATGAGCATATTTCGTTTTCTCCTTTTTGAAGTATTGAATTTATTTTCTTTCCTGTAGCTTTACTTACAGATGTCTTAAGTTTCTTTGCTAGTTTTTTTGGTATGTTGGTTATAGAAGAGACTTCTGTACAGCAACTATATATTTCCACCTTTATTTGAAAGTCTGGACTTGCTTCATTACTAAAAACAAGGACATTTGTAACATTAGAAATTTACTCAATAGAAAATAGAATTATAACATCCTTTGTATTTTGTAACATTTAAAAACAGCATTTGAAATAGGTTTATGTTAACCTATGTTAATGGGTCAGTATCTGGACTTATTTAATATCTAAATAAGCTGAAAGAGTCATTGTAACTTCTAGACCTGATTATCAGCTTCTAAACTAGGGCAATCTCTGTCTTTCTGTCTGTCTATCAATCATCTATCTATCTATCTATCTATCTATCTATCTATCTATCTATCTATCTATCTATCTATCTATCTCTCTCTCTCCCCATCCATCCACCCATCCATGCACCCATCCATCCATCTCACTTAAAGAAAAAGAATAAAATACCATGATCATTTTGTAGCCAGTATTATTTCGCCTTATCATTCCTTTAATACAGCTGTTTTTAAGGTATTTAACTATAAGTGTGGTTTCTTGAAGTGATTACACCTCCAAAAAAAAAAAAGGTTTAAAAATAAAAAGGAACAAACAAAAGGTTTCTTCTGCTAAAATCTCAAGTTTTCATTTCTTTTTCATAAAGGGTCACTTACTACCATGTCTCACCTAACTACACTCACCTTTGTACTTAATAACTATAAACAGCATTTCACTACTTGGTTATATGAGGGAAAATAAACAAACAAAAATATACAGAGTTATACTTTAAGGCATGAGCTCTTTGAAGGAGAGTGCTGTCTTGGAAATTTTTGTACTCTTAAGCTAGTACAAAAGATATTCAATGTATTAATTAAATAAATATGCAGAAATTCTGTAATTTTAGCAAATGCTAAGGTTGTCTTTGTCCTTTTACAGATAATGAAGTACCTTTACTATAAAATATTGTGGTAATGTTACTAACAATAAAATGTACTTAAAACTGCAAGAGGCCTATCAGTAGTAGATGCTGCCTGCAGACAGGGAATCCATCAGTCTCAGATATTTAAAAAATGCAACATAAGACTTTTAAAGATTTCAATGGCCAATCTATAGTTTGGATGAATCCAAGGAATAACTTGCAGATATTTTTACATTTTTATGTTGTAACTTTTAAACATACAGTATTCCTGGTAATGACTAACAAATGTCAATATTTAGAGTAAAGCCAGAGATTCATAAATATTGAATACTTATTAAAAACAATCATAACAAAAAGCACATTTTTAAACATTTAGAACATTTGTCAGCAATTATTTTTAGAACAATTTTAAATATTTACAGAATTTTAACTATAAATCATGTTTCTTCCCAAGTAACTTGCATTGTTCTTTATTTCTGAAAATAAACTATGCTTTTTGCATTTGTGGTAAAAACAAACAAGAGCAAAGTGATGTGAAAAGAGTCCATTAACAGGATGATTTTGACAGAAAAAAAAATTATCAGCAATTGCTGACAATAGAAATAAATATACTCAGATACTAAAAAAAGCTATTTTTTTGAGTCTCATTTATCTATTTGGCAATAATTTGAAGAATCCTAAATATAATCCCCTATAGTTCAACAAAGCTTTGTCAGGAGACCTGTGTTAATGTTAATTCAGAGCAATGCATTTATTTTTCTGTATTACAGAAATACTTATGGGAAACTAGACAGAAGCTATAAAACATGGCTTGTGATACATTTTTTAATGCTATTTAAGTGGCAAAACTAGTACTCTTCAATTTCCAAGATACAGAGATTTAGACCAACAGAACTTTTGAAGGGTCAGAAGAAACTTATGCTAGTTAAAAATTATTTCTATGTCTACCTAAGTTCTTTCTGAATCTCTAAATTGAACTTGTAAGGAGTATGGGCGATAAAAACGGTCTTGAGGATAACCCAACTTTCTATTGTTTTGCAGTCAAGAATGAAAAGAATTATAAGAAAAATTATTTAAAAAATTATAAAAAAAGAATTATAAGAAAAATTATTAAAAAATTATAATTTTTTTTATTATAAGAAAAAAATCTCAGATTTTTGCTAAAGTGATTTTCCTATACAATATATTTTAGGACTAATTATAAATAAAACATACTATTTTAGTATTTATGTAACTAAATCTACTACATGAAATACAAAATGAGCTTTCTGTTCCAATTCACTCTGTATCAAATGCTATTAAAATGAGATTCCACTGTATTCACAGGTTAGTTAATAATGAAACTATAAATATTTATAGAAGTTATTATATCCCATGAGCCAAATATTTACTACTAATATTACAAGATTTCTATTTTGTTTTACATTGGAAAATTTAAAATGCTGAAGTGGACTTCTTTTGAATAAAGATTTTTTTAATGCTTCAAAAATAATGCAAATTACTCAATAATTTTTAAAAGGTAGAATTTTAGATTTTCGTTCTGTGAAGATTAAAAGACACTTACAAAATGGTTACATTTTCAAAACATATATCTGTGATTGTTTTATCCACAATCACCATGTCAGTATCAAAAACGTCAGCTCCCATTTTGAATAAACAAAAAATGGCATAGCGCTGTGACCCTAGAGAAGAAAAACAACATTTTATGCAATGATCTATGTGATAAATATATATATATCTAAAACTACTTGAAAAAAAACTCAAGTACTTGTTAATAGTCTTATATTCTTTCACACATTAAACATTGTATCCTTGATTTTTATATTGATTTTTCTGCTAGCATATACTAATACTTTATCCAACTAAAACACAATGATTAAACCAGGGAGTATCAGGAATTAAAACTAAAAATATAGGCCTCTCAAGCAGCCTAAAGAAACCACCAAACTCATAAATTTTTTGCCTAGAAAACTCTTTAAGCTTTAATTAATAACAAATTTATTATCATATATACTATTACCTCTTTCATTTTGGTTTCCAAATCTATGTGAGAAAAAAACATTTTCGATTCAAAGAGGTTAAGAGTAGGCACATTAATAACAGCAAAACATTTTCCACAAACTAAGAGCAAGGGAGGAAACCACAAAAACAATAAAAGTAGACATGTGAACACAAAAAACATAGCTGCTAGGCCTTTTAATTTGGTAATGTTTTAAAAAAGTATTAGGTGGTTAAAGGGCTTAGTCTCATTATTGAGAAATGCAGTACTTCAGAAAAACTTATTCTCTATAGTAATCAGAAAAATGTACTCAATTCCCACATGTATTCCTTTGTAAAGTAAATTATATTTCCTAATTGAATAACAAATATACTAACCTGATTTTGAATTTTTCATATAAAACTAATTATGCTTAATGTGATTCAGTTTTTAAAGTGTAAGGAACAAAACTATCATAATAGACAAGAAAGATAAAGGATTAAACACACCTTTTCTGCTTTGCATCTCAGATCTAGGAATCATCTGAGGTTAATTTCCATGACCTAAGCAATACATGGGTTTGTGAAGACTACATAAAGCCATAAAATGCTGAAAGGAACAAAAATCAGATGAACCTGAAAATCTTTCTCTCTCACATCCTATTAAATAATCTGAAGCAACAAAAATAAGGCAGAAAGGCACCTCAGATTCTGGTCAAACAAAAGAAATACTGCCTTTATTCCTAAATAAACATTATCTTTGTTCCACACTTTCTTTCCCATTACCTCTTACTTACTGACATTGTAGAGATTCCTAACAACTAAAAGAACAATAGATATGTATTATCTTAATTAGTATCAAGTAATTACATTTTACTAAAAATTGAAAAATAATTAAGGATTTTGCTCACTTTTTCAAATTAAATCATTTGGCAGTATGAAGTTTTTTTCTGCCAATAATCACAAGTTTACTATATACTAAAGAAAATATTTCAATTACAAATTGAAAGTATGTATATTTATATACCTTCTTTATTGCTGAAGTGATCAGTGTCTTTCCACATTAGTGGTATTCGAATATCTAGAGAGGGGGAAAGAAATAACAAGTGATAATGCTGGTAAATTTCATTTCTTAAAGTGAAATCAACCTCTGAATTATATAATGAATTCTGACCAAAATAAAATTTATTATTTAAATATTCTAACCCAAGTGATAGTTTTCTTAAAAATAGCCTAAATGAGGAATATAAAGCCTGTTACATGTATTTAAATAATTTACATAAGCAAATCTTATTTAACTAATTTAATTTAAAAAATCCTACTGATTATTCAAGAAATTAATTTACCAGTTATGGTCTGTAATAAGGTTATATCACGCCATTTTCATTTTGTGACTTATGTTTAAAATAGGTGAAGTGTGGGAGCCCAGTGTTGAATTCCTATTTTGGATTTCTATTTTTTATAGCTAAACACATTTTAAAATCATAGAATAGTACAAGTAGAAAGGACTCTAGAACTTTCAACCACTATAAAACTATACAGATGAAAAAAATAAACAAGCAGATCAAGGCTCTTCTCATTAAGATTTAACTTGTCTACCAAAGAAGTTGTAATTTCATGTTAAAATTGTAATATTTATTTTATAAAAGAAATAAAACTGAAAGGGAAAATGCATTAATTCTTTAAGTCCAAAAAGTAAGCATGTTCTAAAAGTAACTTAAACACATTTTTCTCATTCACAGTCTTCAAACTCTGAAGTATTTCAGAAATTAATTTAGAGCTGTGAAACAAAATTTTTCCATCCTAGTTTCCGACAGTTTTCCTTTACTTTTAATATTAGAAATTGAAATTATAATTTTGTTCCTGGGATTCCTATGTTATCTATATATTTTCAAAGTTAGAGGACAAGATTCTACCTAGAGTAAGATGTATGAATTGTAACATATACAGTAGAGATCTCAAAGGCAAAGATGATTTTAATTATTCAGCAAAAATAAGTCATGTAATTTTTACAAGTAACTCAAATGTTAATACAATTTTAATTTATTTGTGGAAAATTCCTGCTTAAGATATTTCTTTATTACATTTAGAAGTTTATGTGCAAATTTTTCAAACATACTAATTATATCACTTTCAAATAATTATAATCCTTAGAACATAAACTGTTTATGGCTACATCTGTGTGTTTCAATGTTCAGATCCCATAATTCTTTGTCTACTTTATTTGTTTAGAGTTCTAGTACTAAGGTTCCTAATGCCCATTTCCATTTTTTTTTTTTCTAGAAAAGCTTCCTATTACTCCTTTATCTCTATCCTGTCCAACCAAGAAGGTTTGTGTGACTGGCCTTCTCACCTGCTGTTTTAGCAGATTTAATTAAAAAAAAAAAAAATTACTAAGGTCTTCCCACAGGCCAATACTTCATATCTCATCAGCAATTTTTAAATTTTGGTCAAGAGACAGAATTGTTTAAATTTGCATTTATTTGATTGATGAGAAAAATGTTAATATATTATTGGTCGTCATTTAAGTGAATCTGTTTGTATCCATGGCTCCTTTCTTTCTCTCTCTCTCACTATATTGTTTACAGTTTATTCTTTTAAAAGTTAATTATTTATCTATTGAGAGTTTGGGGTATGTGAGGTAAAAACATTTTCTTTCAAGAATAATTGTTCGGCATTCTCTTCTTCAGTGATGTGTGATGCCATGTTATCACACATATTGAGTAAGTCCCTATTCTTTGGCTATCTCTGTTACAGATCTAGTTGAATCACTTATCAATTATTATTTATCCTAATGCAAATAACATACTATTATATCCATTTAACCTTTATATTTTACTGTCAGAAATATATCCTTCCAAAACCAACTTTTTGTTCATTTCTTTATGTAAATTTTTGAAGTATTTTGTCAAAATTCTTCCTCTAAAATACTTTATTAGCGTTCTATTATCCAAATTAATATGGGAACAGATGATTTTATAATATTCTGTCTTTACAAAGAATATAATTACGTTTACCTTTTAAGATTATTCTTGGGAATATTTATCATTTTTACTTTCATTGTAAAGGAAATCATTTTGGCTATCATATTTTCTAAGTAGTTATTGCTGGTTCTGAGAGCAGTTATTTTTTGTATATTTATCTTGAATCCAGCCACTTCCACATAATTCTTTATTAATGCAAGTAGTGGTTTAGTAAATTTCCTGAGATTTTTCTATGTCTGTGACCTATTATTTTCCAATAATGTTCACTTTGTCTATTTCTTTTTAGTAATTTCATCTCTCATACTATTTTAGCTATAATTTCTAAAACTATGTTAATTATATTGATGTAATAAACATGTTATTTTGTTTTTATTTTAATGGGCTGCTTTTATTGTTTTATAATTATTACTTCGCCGATGTCCTGCCAAAGAGACCACTTGCTTGACCACAGTTGCTGACTCATTTCATTTCACAACTGTTCTTGTTCACAGCTGTTCTTCTTCTATTAGGGTGGTATTAACTATTTATACTATCCTGGGAGGAATATGGACCCTGACCTCTTTTACTATAGCCTATAGGTCATTCTTACCCTTTCCCATGCCTAGCTATGTCAGTCCTCAAGAAGAGAAAGCTGGATAAGTCCCATCTATTTTTCATCTATTTCCCTATTACTATCAACTTCAGATGGCAATGCACCAACTATGCTTCTTAATTCAGCTTCAAATAGACATTCCTTACAGATTGTGTTAGTTTACAGTATTCTTACTTTTATCTCTTTTGTAAATGTCTTCATTGGGTTTTAATGGTAAACTGAGAGTCATAATAAAACAGCTAGCTTGATGCTATTAGGGCCTAGAGGTCTGTCTAAACTGAGGCACTTTGTGGACTGATTTGGCCTCAGTCATTGAATTACAAGTCAGAGAATAAACTTAGAAAATTACCATGATGCAATTATTTGGCATTTAACAGAAGCAATTAGGATGAACCTCAATTATTATTTGAGTGTGTGGTCAGTGGGTGGACAAACTGGAAGTGGAAAATCCAGGGATCTCCTGGCAATCAAAGTAATCTCAGAAACATTATGAAACTTTCTTGTAAATATTCATTTTGACCAAAACAAAAGTCACATTTTCATCTCAATGTCAAAGAAAATGGATTTATTAAAGTGAATTAGTTTTTAATTTTCTTTGTTTTTATTTTTATAAATATACAGACAAGATATAATTAAGTCTAAGCAAAGATGAAAAGAAATTACATATGTATTTCATTTTCTAAGACTTTCAGTTCTTTAATTTAAAATTATCTTTTGGAAAGAAAGAACACATGCAGAAATAAGTTTAATTTCTACACTTGAGTATTTGTGGTCAGGAAAAGCTTTTTTCTTTTACTTAAAATGCTTTTTCTTAAGCACTCTTCGAAATGAACATTTAATGTTGATTTCATGAATTGTTGCAAACTATTATGAAATTACAACATATATTAACTCTATTGTATCATTCAAGTGTTCCACAGCAATTTAACATATTTCATTTGTGAACTGAGTGGGACCACATCAGAAACAGAAAATGGGGGGACATGTCTAGGATTTTTAGAAAATCCTCTTTAAAGATCTATATTTTATTTATTCATATCAAAATGTATTGTATATAGTGAACAACTACTATATAAAAGTAACTGGTTTTGAAAGGACACAAGGATGCAAAAAACATTCCAGTCTTATAAGGGGAAAGGCAGATATATGAATATAAACAACTATTAAAAAAGCAACAGATTTTTATAAAGCTCAATTATTTTTTTCTGAAGAATTATTTTGCTGAGGGTAATTCCTCTGATGTAGGACAATTATGTCCTATGTAAAATTCAGGTCTATCCTCCCTGTTTTGTTAATCCAAAATATCCATAATTTTTGTTTATCCATAAAGTCATTTCGAAAAACAGTTCCTTGTAAAAGGGCCTGAAATGTAGCAGCAGACACCCTGGAGCTTAAGAACAAGATTTTTGGCCAATGAAACAACCTAGTTATTACTTAAGGTGTAATGGAGGTCTGTTGTTTCCCAAAGTACTGATGAGATATTATTTGTAAAAGGTACATTATCTAGCTGGCATACACATGAGTCAGCCAAGCATTCACTTCATTATGTGGTATCTCCAAGCCATTGTCTTTAAGTTTCCCAAACACTTTGGAGAAACTGAGACTACACAGCATAAGTGCCATCTAGTGGCAAAGAGTTTCCTAACTGTATTAGGAATTCACAGAAGAGAAATATTTCTAGCTGGAATGGTAACAGGGAAAGCTTTAAAGATGACAATAAGATCCTAAATATAATATATTTATTTTAAGACCTAATTAGATGTCAGAAGCATGGCGTATGTGGACAGAACAGGGAGAAAAAAGTCTGGCAAAAGCAGAAACCTTATGTATGGAGGAAGTGGGAGATATGGCTAGAAAAAGTTGGGTCAGAATGGAAAATTCTAGAAGAAAATATTTGATCTTTATCCTATAGGCAACAAAGAGCAGTCATCCATTCACTATCCACTGAGCAATTACTATGTGCAATCACTGTTAGATCCTGGGTATACAGTGAACAAAACAAACATGGTTCCAACCTGCATGGAACTTCAAGCCTACACTAACATTATAATCATGATTGAAAGTCTTGGGCAGAAAAGGAATGGAGAGGCAGTCCAGCTCAGCAACTTGCAGGAAACCTTGCAAACTCTGAGCATGTAGAAAAAGAGAAGTACCCTACCTTTCTTTAAAAAAAAAAAAAAAAAGCTGCATGGAGGAGAAATCTGTATATGTAACACATATGAACATTTTCTCAAATCATAAAATTTTATACAAATATAGAATATAATGTTGAAAATGGTGTTTGAGAATATTCTGATAGAGGTATGCAAAATATAATGAAGGAAAAGAATGGACACAGGGGATTTAAAAATTTTACCAAATTTAGAACATTATAGAATTAAATCAGCAATATAAAAGTGATCCATCTATAGCATACCTGATATGGCAATCTTTCCTTTACATGCTGACTGTTCTTTACTTTCATAACTCACATCACTGTCAAAAGAAAAAAAACTAATGAAAGATCTTTCAAAATAACCAATTATCTTAACAATATTTGACAAATGCTTAAATATTAAATACACACATATCCGTGAATAATAGTGACTTTCAATTAATATAAACTACTTGACTCAAACTTTGAGATGTTTTAGTCAATGCATTAAAATATAATTATTCTCTTTGATTTTTTAATATAAGCTTTATAGTCTCTGGTGACTATATACTGCTTATCCTACAATAAAGCCTTTTGTAATCACTTACATATATAAGCAAGATATATAATATTTTCCCAGGTCTCAGGTGATTTTAGATCACTATTTCACAAATTGTATTTTTAAATGGTCAAATTATAGTTGCCTCAAAAAGTTAATCAACTTCCTAATCATGAACCTGCTGCCCAGGAGTATCTTATACCTATGGAAATGACCAATATCAAAAATTAATCTCTGCTATATATTTATATGTAGTAATATCATTATTATATTTTCTTGAAATTCCATATATACACACACACTCAAACACATAAACATACATACTCTAAAACAAATGCAGAACTAAAAGATGGGAAAAGAAAGGGAGTGACTCTGTATAGAGAGTATTAATTTTGGAGAGGCAAATATTACCATGACAATAGAAATAAGTTTCATAATAAATTATTGGAATATAAGATACTTCAAAATATGATTTTAGAATATACTATTACCATAAAAAAAACTTTCAAAATAGTAATCTCTTATTAGACCAATCAATTCCATCTTTGAGTCCAATATCCTTTTCTAAATACTTGTATTTAAAGATTAGAATTCCATATCTTGTAGAGCAGCATTTCCAAGAATATCCTCTGTACTTTATCTGGGGTTGGGGAAGGGAGGGACCTCTAAACTGGTTAGCTAATTAACTGCTGGTTAATTTAATGAGGTGCTTCAAAAATATGTGATTAGATTGAAATATTCTATTGAAAACTGTCTAATTCTACAAAAGCTTCTATAGAAAGACTAGGTGGAAGTTTGAAGAAGACTGTGACACGATTCTCACTGCATTTCAGTATATTAAAAACACTACATATATATTCATTATCATGCATCCAAATTTGAAAACAAAATGTATCAGCATACTCTTTTTTTTACTCTTAATGCACTTAGCACACAAATGTTATAGATGAAATATAAAAGAAATATATTTTAAATGAGCTAAAATAATTTAGTGATGTAAATTAATAACCTTAGTGATGTAAAATTAATAACCTTTAGAGATATAAAATTAATAACCTTATATGGGACATTTATATGGTATTTATAAATTGCATATTAGATGTACCTAAAAGTATTATAGATTTAAAGATGTAAATTCTCAGAAAACTAATTACTTTATAGTTACACTTGGATTTTTATTAAAATAGGAAATCACTCAGTAAAAATTAAAGTACATATTTCAAAATACTGTTTTGTTGAATCATAAATATTAAAGAATCTATTTTAATATTTACACTAACATTTAATCTGTTATATTAAGAACACTAGCTTTCTTATTATTAGTCCATCACAGAGTGAAAAGCTCAATTTAAACGGTCTAGCATATTTTGATGAAAGTAACATACTAAGAGACACACTTGAAACCAAACACAAATTTCAATTTCCACAAATTGGTACAAAAGATACAATATAAATGCAGTTGGTAGGCACTTGTAAGTAATCTTGTTTAAAAGATCTTCTATAGGAGCAGTACATAATATAAATTCTTAAAATATTTATTTCAGTGAAAAAAATCACAAGGAAACTCCAATATGGTGAGTAATTTGAGTATTATGAAATAGATTGTAGATTATGCTAAAGCTGAGGTCCATTAGGTATTATTAAATTGGATTTAACTTGAGGCTTTGGCAGGCAAGTTAAATTCTGAAATATTAGAACCACCAAGAACAAACTTGCTGAATATTTACCAAAAAAAATTTCCCCTCCAAATTATTCAACCACCTGGCAGAGTACAGCTTTCTTCTCTATAATTACAAGCTATTTGCATAGGCATTTCCAGGACCAGTCAACAACTTATTATATACAAATATTATCAAATTAAAATGTAAATCTAATTAACCATAAAATCTTTTAGAAAAATTAAATCTGTCTTTAAAAAGGAGACATAAACTAAAGTAATTCAGCCTTATTTTTTTCCAAAGCTTAAATTATTTTTAATTCAAATTAACTTCAAACTGTTATTTAGAGTGCTAAAGTGTGATGTTTTCTTAATTAATCCAAATTGACAATAAAATTGTTAAAACATTATCTGTTTAATAATGTGCGACTGTAGCTAATAGTTTGCTACAGTAAATAAATACTTGTTTGACAATCTGCAATGTTAATGCCAATTCTAAATGCTACAATTAGAGAGCCAGCCTGAGGAAAAAACAAATAACCACAAATTTATCTAAACAAAAGCACAGCTCAATAATGGTGTATCTTATTCCTAGTTTAGATCATTATTTTGCTGAGACTTGTAAATGCTAATTTAAAAGATATAAAAATATCAAAGACAAACTTTTAACTTTATTTTATTACTTACATTTCTGGCTGTAGGTAAATAAAATGACCAACAGAGGGTGCCAATCAGCCACCTTACTGAATTTTGCTCAAAAATCTGAATTAAAATTGATTGAATAAATACAGATTATAATCTTTTGTTATTCCATACAGGGATTTACAATAGCATTTCATTGCCAAAACTACCAAGCTACAATGAGAAATAGCATGATGATGAAAGTATTTTATATTTTCTCAATGAAGTACTAAAAGAATTCTAAATGGTGTTCTATGATTTGAAAGCAGGTTAAAAAAAATCCATCACCTATTATGCAAATAAGTAAAACTTAAAGCACTCAGAAATGCTTAACATGGAATTTTAAATCCTCCTAAAGCTATGTTATAAAAATAATAGCTTCATAAGCCTCTTAAATTGGGAAGAGGAGCTTTCTTTTCAAACCCTGACATATAACTCTTCTCAACACAAAAAATAGAGAGTTTTAAAAACAAAACCAGCAATGTTTTATTTTAGAAATACCAGGAGAAGACAATTTTCACTAGTAACATATTTTTTTCTTTAATGTTACAGTATACAAGCAACAAACTAGAAAACTGGAGTATAAGAAACCAGCAATCACATTAAGGGGCATTTCAAAATGACAAATATGTTGAATAATCTGCATTATTTGGCCCTATAATTGACTTTGATTAGTATCATTTTTACAAAACCAAATAAAGCATTTCATAAATTGAGACAAACTCTTGGACTGGGTAAGGGAGAATATTATTGCTAAAGTGTTATCAAAAAAAGACAGGAGGATATAATGTATAGTATAATTGACTTTGACTATAATTGACTTTGATTAGTGTCATTTTTACAAAACCAAATAAAGCATTTCATAAATTGAGACAAACTGGTAGACTGGGTAAGGGAGAATATTATTGCTAAAGTGTTATCAAAAAAAGACAGGATATAATGTATAGTATGGTCATATAATTAATAATACTGTATTATATATTTGAAAGCCTCTAAGATTTCTTCACAAGAAAAAATATTTTTGTAACAATGTAAGGTGATGGATATTAACCAGACTTATTAACATTTACAATAAATACAAATATTGAACTATTGTGTGGTACACCTGAAACTGAAAATTTTACATGTCAATTACAACTAAATTTTAAAAAATAAAAGAAAGTAGAATCTGAACTTTTTAATGTATTTTTATATATTTTTATATATTTATATATATTTTATATATATTTATATTTTTTTGAGAATTTTTTTTTATATATTTTGGTCATTACTAAATCACCAGTGCCCATTATACAGCTCAGTATATGCTATGGCACTCAATAAATGTTTAACGGATATTATATGAAACAAATAGAATACAGTCATTTCAATGGAGCAGACAGATTTAGAATAAAGTCATGGGTTTGCATTTTAGTTTTTAATAACTATTGATTGCTACGTTAATGAATGTTTATACTCAGCAATCATATGAGGAAAACATCATCTACTTCAGAGCTACCGAACAAAATAATATTTTAAATGTATTCTTTATCATTGAAACAATGTTATATAAATACAAGGATTAAGTTTTGTTTAGTTTCAGTACTTGGAGTTTAATTGCAAGAGGCATTAAAACATTTGTTAAAAGTGATCAAATTTTGAGTTTGATCCCTAGTTCCAGATAACAGTAGCCAACAAAATTAGAATCTTTTCAGGCATCTTACAAAGATCTTCAGGTCAATAAGGAAAGGAAAAAAAAAAATCACCAACAGTCCACAACTACAGCATAACAAAACAGAGACTACAAACTTGGGCAAATTAACTGAAACCCTTAAAGTCAGTTACTGGATCAGGTACCACTACAAAACTCAATATTAACTTGCGATCTCCACAAGAAGAAAAGAAAGTGCATATAAGACATGGTGGATGCCATTAACATTGTTCACTGGATAATTGAGAGGAAGGGGATCCAAAAGAATTATGGCTCAGAAGTTGGTGGTTTTGTTAAGAGACAATGGGAGAAATACCCTTTGAAGGCTTAACCATTAAAAGAAAGCAAATTCAGTTGAAAGTAAAAATCCTAAGAAACAAAATAGTATCAAAAAATGAGAAAACTAAACCTGCCAACATTCCCAAAGGCACCATTTATTACAGAAACTGCTCTTCACAATTCTGAAAACAAAAATACTCTGGAACTAAGAAACCAAGTAAACCCTTCTTCTCCTCCCCCCACCATCAGTCCCCCCAGGAATGTCCTATATCCTTCATATTTCATTAGTAACAAAAGAAAGGATCCAAACATCTACAGAAAGCTAGTATAAAGTTAAAGTAGAAAGAATCAAACTACTTCAGCTGATAAAAACATTCCACCAATTACTCTCCAAAATATAGTCAAGTATCACTTAACTGTGTTTCAGTCAACAAGGGACAGAAATATGATGGCAGTGTTTGTATACATAGCCTAG